TAGAATTAGAACAAAAATTTTTTTGTAAATTTAAGATGTCAAAATTTTACAAATCTAGACATTTATAATTAACTTTTTTCTTGTTGGGCTACAATTTGAAAAAATTGTAAATCTGTAAATTTTAACTGTCGTCTGTCCATCTGTGTCTTTCCTTAATCTTGAGAACAGAGTTAGATAGATGAAATCCAAGACCAGATATGGAAACTTTGGGCAGGAGGTCCCGATTAACTATATATGAACTTCTGATGCAAACTGGAAGTCATGTTTTTTCAATTAAAAAAATTTTCTTCTGAAAGGTTAGATAGATGACCAGTATGACTTTATTGTTAAAGGAAAATTATGATGTACGGGGACAAGCCACTACTAATTTGGAGTGGAGAGCATATATTTTAAATGAAATAAATTAAAAATATGATTAAAAATTGCAGCCTGGCATTGTGACGATGTCACAATAAATAATTGCTCATTTTATTATAAATATATTCATATTACAGTAATAATTCAATATTAGATAAGTTTTAATTTTAAACACTTCGGTGTAAAAATGGAGTTTCATTCTGATTTTAAATTTCATTTTTAATCTTGCTATTTCATTATTAAAAAATATTTTAAGTTCTATTTAAAACAAGAAAAATTTTTAAATATATAATCAACTTATAAAACGGTATTTTATATTTTAATATAGATTTTAAGAATAATCAAGATGTCTGCTAACTCTATAAAAAATTCTTATAAATTAATTTATTGCTGATAAGGATCAGACATTTTCTTTATAATACTTAAACATATCTCATCATTAATTTTAAGCCAATTAAGTTATTAATAAAAAAAAATTGTTTAATAATTTTAGTGAATGTTGTTAATATATTTATTTGTTACATTTATAATTGAATGCTATAGCTTTTATTAACAGATATTAATGATTAAAAATTACATTAACTTTTTTATTAAACCTTTCTTTTAAAATATTTTATGAAAAATCTTTAAAGGATCTTTGCCTTAGTAAGGCCATCAGAAGTACAAGACAGTAATATTATATGAAAAATCTATAAATAAAATATTCGCCTGAACACTATACATAATAAAGTTATGATTGACAATTTCCTTATGGTTTTGAATTAATAAAAATGTCATTTCTGAATTTCTAAATTGTTGAAGAAAATTCTGTGATAAAATTTCATCTATGATTTCTTATGGTTATATAGCCATAAGATTATGAATTTTTCACAAAATTATCAGGTGACCAAAGAACTTGGTATGGTTTTTTTCAGTAGACACTATCAATAACATCCAGAAATCTTTAGAGGGGTGCAGAAAGGTAACAGTATGCCTTACAAAATTTTTTACTACACAAGATACCCAGCTTTACTCAGGAAAACTCCCCAGAAGAGAGTGCAGCTAAACCCTGCACACCCCTAAATCCACCAATGGCTGTCATTGCAAAAACTGCACCAACATAATTAACAAGTCACCTTTTTTTCATCCAGCAATGGCTTTTAATTTCTTCTGTGCTAACATTTTTGTTTTACTGTATTCATTAACTGTTTTTGCTTGAGGATGGACATTTAAGACACCTGAAAATATTAGCACACAAAAGTTTAAAAGCCATTGCTAGATAAAAAAGGTGTCTCATTGTATTCTGTATCATTTCAGTACTATACCCTTTTTTTATCACCTGATATGATCTTATGACAGATAATTCAATGTGTCACCTAAGATAGATCATATCACTTTTGTTGTTGAATTACAGATTCTTTTATCATTGTTGTTGTCATTTTTTGATTATTTTGTTTCATTGATTGGCTCAGAATTGATCATGATAACTTTGAAGATAAAATGTTGTATTTCACAAATGATAGTTATAATTAATTAAGATTTGATACTGAAACAATAAGTTCTAGTATTTAATTTTTATGAAAATTTATTTTCATTTAATTTCAAATTAGTTTTTAACTTTGAACTTATAGAAAACTAGGATTATTTTAGTTTTCTCGTATTCACTCGTTTAACCTTTACTTTCTGGTACTGCTTAAACATCATAAAACATATGTTTTCGGTCTCACTTGAGGTCTGCTTCAGGTTACAAGAAAGAAAATTGGTTTCCAATCTTAGAACAATTCTTGAAGGAATGTTGAGTTTTAAAATAAATTCAAACATGTGTGCACTCTGTAGTGTCGGTGATTTCTTGTTCTTCCCATATGTAACGCCAAGCGTATGAAAGCACTTTGCCATCTTTAGAGTTTATACATCTCCCTGCCCGGCCAGCCCTGTATATTTCCAGGGTTCCAAGGGCCCTGATGTGGTCAGTATGAATATTTATTTATCATTCTGGTGAATCTCTATTTATCAGTCTGGTGTTGGATAGTTCTGTGTGAATATCTGGGTCAGTGGCGTAGGTGGATAGGGCTGTGGTGTAACAAGCATGGTCTACATGTCATATTTGTGCTCCCTGATTCTCTGTTGGATGGAATGCTTCATGGAGCCAATGTACACCATTTCTTGCTTAAATCTGTCATCTCTCAGTGGAATACTGTATATCCCTGGAGTCCTAAGATTGTCCTGTTTGTCTTTTGCATTGCGTAATAATTTATATATATTGGGGGACCTTCGGTATGTTAATCTGGTGCCAGTTTTGGTTGCAATTTCTTTATATAAAGCTTGAAATCATTGATTGTATTCAACAGTTGGTGCATCTGTTGGCTGGTTCTTGATTCTGATCTTCATTGCTAGCCTTTTGAGTAATGGGTGTATCCTGTGTATCATGGTCTGAAATAGGCATGTGCTAGCTCTCGTATTAGTTCTTTTTTGTAATCATGTGCCATCGCGATGCTTTCTATATTTTGTAGTTCAATTATAGTGTCATTCCATCTAGAAGGGTGCGTATATTCTCTTCTAACCAACGCCCGGAATGTTGTGACCTTATAAGTGTAAGGGTCAGCTGAGTTTGCCGGTATAAACCATGGGATGTAGCTAGGTTTATAATATATACCAATTTCAACCACTTCTCCATTGAGCCTGATGTTGATGTCCAAGAAGTGGGCATTGGTGATAGTCAATTGGTCCAGTTTAAGGATCAGCCCGTAAGGATTGTTGTTCATGTGACTTAAAAAATTGCATGAACAATAATCTGGTTGGTGGCGTCACTGGACACATCTAAATTATTTGCCTTTGCAAAAACACATAAGTTAAGCAAAAATGCAGTTTTGTTTAATGCAGTTATTATTCAGTACTTAATAAGAAAAATTGTTTCACATTTGTCTGTTTACTTAAAAAACAAGAACATATTATGCATCTATACATTCAATATCAAACTTATCTAAAAAATGATGATTAGATTTTAACTATATTATATTGTCATTAAGTTTTCTTTGTATTGTATATTAAATTTTTTATGTAAAACATTCTTATAACTAACATTTAAAATTTAATTTTTTACAATGTATATCAAATTATATTTTAACATATTTGAATAATATAAATTATAATTTAGGTTTGCTCTAAATAAAACATTATCACATTGATTTGAAAATCATATCATCAGATATAAATGTAATTTTTTTAAATTACAAATAACTTTATCAAGTTATTTGAAACACTTTTTTATGCAATATAATAATTTATTTTGAACTTGTAAAATTTTTTAAATGTAGCATTTATATGTATCATTTGTTTATAATTTTTCAAATCATTTCATTTCTTAAAATGTCTGACTATAATATATTTGTAGTTATACATTAGTTTGTGTATGTACTGTACTATACATGCATATGCATATATATACTTATATATATATATATATTGAAAATATATCTTGGCAGATAAGACGAGGTATAAATTTTCGTCAAAGTTTTATAGTTTTAGCACATGTCTGTCCTATAAGACAACCCTGGATTTTGGGGGGCCTTTTTTTATGATTCAACTATCATCTTATCTGCTGAGATATACGGTATATATTATTTAATTATATAATCAAATACTTTTAAGATTAAAAAAATTTAAGTTGTAATGATTGATCAGAATAATGAAGTTATCATACTGCATTAGTTAGATTAAATAATCTATGTAATTAACAAATGTTCCTATGTTGGATGACTGCTCTTCTCATTAGTGTATTTATTAAATTGAAGTAGAATTGTTTATAGTCATTAGTACATTGACAAAAAATTTAATCATTAAGATTGGTTATTTTTGATCTTTTATATCATTGGAAATTGAAAAAGCTTGTCTAATAAATTGCATTTTTTATAAACACATTTTTTCATGCTGATAAGAAGTCTTTTTAAAATTTTGTCATTCCATAATTTTCAACTTTAAGATCATTATAACTTTTTTTTTTTAATTGTTTTAATTAATTTGAAACTTTTTTGATGGAGAAGATGTAACAAAATTACCAAAGCATAACTTGATAACATCTTAAATACAAGGAGCTTTAATAACTTAACAAATTAGATGTCAGAATACCAGACAGTAGATAATTAACATGGTGCTCTTAATTACTAAACTTCTCTTCTAGACTTCATCATATGGAGCCATTTGGAACTTTTGTTTTTGTATATGTTAACTTCCTGAAAATGATTTAAGACTTGTGAAAAACATATAAGAGGATTTTAATGAAATCAGACACTACAAGTACTTTTATTGAAAGTTTAAAATATTGTTTGACTACAGAGCATTCCATAAATTTTAGTTTAAACATTATCATGATCATCATGATTCTAAAAGTTTATCACATCTTAAAAATTTTTAATAATATATTTTTTAATTAATATAACAAAAGTCAACTATACTTGCAATGAATAAAACAGCAGTTTATTGGAAAATAAATAAATATTTTTTTAAAAAGTTACTTTTTCTTAGAAATTCTATAATAGAATGTTTTTATTCTTTTGTTTTTTAATTTAAAATTCACAATTTTCTAATATTTTAGTTTTATAATGTTTTAATTAATAGTGATTTTATTAAGTGAAAACTTATTTATAAGAAAATTAATTTTTTTGTAGGCTATGACTTTCTGCAAATAAAATATTGAAACATTTTGCTCAGACCAATTTAGAATGTCAGAAGTTGTGATAATTTATTTACTATTTGGAATTTGAGAAGGTAATTTTGTAGTTAAATATTTTAAGCAATACTTTAGCATTTTAAAACAAAGTTAAAATTTTAATAATTTATAAAACATTTAATATTGTATTTTTAGTGGTTGATGACTTCCATGTCTATCTTGTTATTTAAGAAAGAATGAATCAAGAGAGGATGACTAGAGGGGTATTAATATTTTATAACAATGATACTATTTTGAGACAGTTATTATTTTATAATATATATATTTACTTATATTGTATTGTTATTTTAGCAAGGCTGGCCACCAGGTACTGAAGTTGTTGGTCGTTACAATTTCAAACCTTCTTCAGAAGATGATCTCTCATTTCAGAAAGGCGATATAATGACAATTGTTACTCCTACTAGGGTAAGAAAAAATTTAATCATTTAATTGAAGACATTAATTAAATATAATTACTTCCTTCATTTATCCATATAATTAGTTTTAGTTGACCTTGTTTTTTTTTTAATGTTTATGTTAATGAAAAATAAACTTATTATTAACTCATCAGGTTTTTGATTAAAACAAAATTACAAAATTATTTAAATGAAAGTGCATATTTGATTATGATATATAGAATTGAAATACTTTATTAAGATATTGTTTGTTAGGAATAATGTTTTGATTTTATAAATATTTTAAAATTCTAGTTTGTTTTAATAAATTGTAAAAAATGTTAACAGCAGTTCAATTAAGTTACTATAAATTGATCACTTACATATTACAGTTTATTTAATAATTTACAAATTTTAAGTCTGAGTAAAATAATTTTTTCACATTACATTATTTATTAGAGATTCATGCGTTTTACTGGCATAAACTGAAGCTTCATTACCTCAACATTAATTTTTGATCCTTGTTGAAAGTAAGCATCAGATATGTTTAGGATGGAAAATGACAGACAATATTTTTGTTTTACAATAATTAAATTGGTTATTCATTATGGAATACTTGAAATTTCTGTCACTATTTTTACAATCATAACCAAAACATATACAGTATTACATTAAATATAATAAATTCCGAGGGTGTGAAAAAACTTATTCCATTACAATTTTATGATTAATAAATAGAGACTGACCAGTTTACATAAATTCACTCCTGTGTATAGGTATATAAATTAATATATTACAACTTAATGTATTTTACACTGATATAATGGTATGCAGGTCATCTGCAAATAAGGAATCAATGTATTGGATTGATGTAAAAATTTCTAGAACTTTCTACACCTCTGTAGAATGTTTGAAAATGTTCTTCTACAGATAGTGTCTAGAAGTTTCTTGTTGGGGTATGTAAATGAAGGGTATTGATATACACATTCATAAATGAAAATTCTCTGTGATGATACCAACTTTTTAAATTATGTCAAGTTTACCAAAGCTGAATTTACATGAATGGTCATGATTTCTCATGACCAAATTCATGCATATATGCTTTACAGTTATCAATTTGGTATAAAAGCAGCTGAATCTCATCACTGTGTGGTTCAATTTGTTGGCAAGAATGTTGTCTGTAAGTCTACAATCCATAATTGGTTTAGTAAATTTAAAGCTGGGCAGTATGAAGTCAAAGATGAACCATGCTCGAGAAGGACCTTTATCCTATTGGATGACAAACTGTGGCAGCTGATATGAGCTAACCCATGTCTGAGCAAGTGAGAAATGAGCAAGACGCTTGGTGACTATTCCATTGCAGTTTGTCACTTACCTGCTGTTGGAAAGGTCTAAAAGATCAATGTTTGGGTTCCTCACAATTTGAACACAAGATCACATGAGTTAAGGTTGAGCCAGCAGAAGCTACTTGATCTCGTCTAGGAGATTCTCCCTCACCCTCCTGTATAGCTCAAACATTGCACTGTCTGACTACCATTTCGTCTGCTCCATGCAGCCCTTCTTGAATGGAATGCAGTTCTCTGATGATGGTGAGATGAAAATCATACTTGAAGAGTTCTTTGTCAAAACAGCCCATATTTTATTCAGCAGGAATCCATGACCTTCTTAATTGACAAAGAAGGTACTTGAAAGTAATTGCAATTATTTTCTTGAATAAACTATTTTTGTTTTTGAAATAAATGTTGGTTGTACTATAAAACTCTAGAAAATTCCAGAAACTTTTGCATTAATCCATTATAATTTAATGTATGTCATAAATTCAGCAATGAGTTACTGTTATTGACTGAGTAGAGCTATGGATTTATCCATCTTTGATGTTACTTTGCTGGATGATTTATTTAACAAATTTTTTTCATACAATAATATAAATTTTGATTTAATCAAAACAAATAATGTTATAATAAATTTTTAAAAAATCTAGACTTAAAAGTCACAATATCTAATTTTTTTTTATTAAATATCAATAAGTAAAAAAATAGCAGAATAACCCAAGAAATTTGGTGAAATTTAGCTTTTGTATAATATGGGCTATAGTATTTTTGTATAAGCATATGAGAAAAAAGTACAGGTAATCCCAATTTATGTGGATTCCTGTTGTAAGTCAAACATAGACATAAAAAATAATGGTGATAATGGATGTTGTTCCCCATCTATAAGCCTTTAAAATATTGCATATTTACATTATAGTAAATTATTCTGCTGTTTGTGCGTGTTGTATTTAAAACCAAAATTTAATATTTTAATTAATTATGGTATTTTATTAGTAATTAGTTAAATATCACAGACAAACATAGTCAGTCAACCATGCTCAAAGGAGCAAAAATCATCTTGGAGTATTGCAATCTTTGAGGAATTGATTTTATTTTTTATTTTAAAATGAATTAATAATAATTAAATATAAATTGCTTTGTAACAGAATTTTTAATAGACTTTTCTGTTAAAATTTAAAGCTATATTCAATCCAAGATCTGAAGATGATGTTGAAAGTTAATTAGTTAACATTCATATTATCTTAAGTATATGAACATTTAGTTAACTTCTGTTCTTAACATTTAGTTATTTTGGGAAATATCTCCAAATTATTTCTAAATACAGCCAAACATCAGGTTTCAAACTTAATTCATTCCTAAAAGTTGTTTGAAAACAAACTTGATCTAAAACTGAAACTTACACATAAGAATCAATGTAAAGTGGATTAATTCATTCCCAACCACCAAAACAAAATCTTTTTTTTTTTTTACTATATTTCATGCATAAAAATGCCTATAAAGGCAATGTAATATTATTTATTATATATATTAAAAGCAAAATGTTCTATCACTGCCAATTGAAACTGAAACTAACACTTCACAAAGAAGTGCTATAAATAGAGAGTCAACTCTGACTGCTTGGATAAATATAATCAAATCAATCAAGACCCAAAACAAGTACTTTATCCACACTTTCCAAAATATTGTTTCAATTGATTTGATTTCAATTTTAATTTAAATTAATTAAATAAATAGTTTGTTTTAGTTTCAGTGTAAAGGCCAGAGTTTTAATTATTATTTTTAGTTTTAATTAACTGGCTACCTACTATTAATAAATTTTTTACATTTAATTTAACTTAAGCATGTTTAAACACAAATTCTTGAATGCTATTAATATTACATGAATATTAATTAATTTGATATGGCATTTACCGAAAAAATGAAAATAGTATCTTTTCCACATGCACATTAAAATTTACCATATTTACTTGAGTATAAGATGAGTGAAGGATTCTTTGCATTGTGGCCAACCTGGCAACACTTCAACGCACCTGCCACATAGTCTGTCTCCCTCTTGAGTTCATTCTTACCACATGCATTGTACTGGTGCCAGTCCTTGTAGCCCAGTTCCAAATAAAATTATTTTATTTTTTTAAGATCTGTGATTTTTGGTCTAAAACCAAAGCGTTTTTGCAATAATTTCTGTAAACTGTGTATAGTTCATGCTGCCATTATAGGCCTACAGTCTATTTATTGTAAGTTGGCACCTACTGTAAACAAATTAAGACACACCCCAGTGTTTATTGGTTTAATCCTATGTCCATCAATTAAAAACCATGTTACATTTCATTTGTCTGCGGAAAATAGTTCCTCATTTTAAAATCACTAGCTGCAAGGACCTGCTTTGCTCGGTTTTTATTTGTTCGTCCATTTGTATGTAATATAGTTTTTTTTATATATATATATAAACTGTTTTTCTAAGTAATCTAGAATCTAGCTGCAAGGACCCGCTTCGCTGGGCAAAAAGTAACGATAGTGAAGATTAAGATAATTACATTATAGCTAATCTTACCCGTTTTCACAGAATGCAAGAATTAGGTCCCCCGTTTCCAGACTAATTAGAGAATTTTTACGT